GGGCTGGCACAGACGGTGACCGTCCCCCTACCGTGGCCGTGCCGCTCCGCAGATGCCCATCAACGCCTCCAACGCGCTGACCCTGGCTCACCAGCTCCGCGTCTACACCGCCGAAGCCGCCAACTTCTCGGACATGGTTGATGTCCTCTACGTGGCCCAGATGATAGAGAAGTTTATCGGCTACGTGGACCAGATCAAGCAGGTAATGAGCGCTGGTCCTGTCCCTTGCTCGCCCCAGCGCTGCTGGGGGTTTTTTGGGGGGGATGGAAAAGCATGAATTGGGGTGTTTGCCACCGGGGATGGCAGTAGATCTTTGTGGAGCCACTTGCTGTCCTCGCAGCTGACGGACGTGATCGTGGAGATGGCCAGCAACATCATGCTGGTGGACGACCACATCCTGTGGATGTCGCAGAAGGAGGAGAAGGCTTGCACCAGCATCGTCCGCTCCCTGGAGAAGATCGCTGCCCACACACTCAGCAGCAACTCCCAGCACATGGCGGTGGTGAGTGGGGGCTGCCTGGAGATGGGGGGCTGGGGGGGAAGACAAAGTGGTTGGGCCGGGGGTCGGGCCGGCCGTCCCCCCCTGGCCGAGCGGGGGTCCGAGCCCATGCCCGACCAACAGCTGAGGCTGCGCTGCACCACGGGGCGCCCCAATGTCTCCCTGACCAGCTTCCACATCAAGGTAGGGGTAAGCCGGAGGATGGGGCCTGGGGGGGGTACCGGGGGAGGTCGGCCCCTGTTCACCGGTGACCGTGCGCCCGCAGAACAGCATCGCCCTGGCCTCCATCCAGCTGCCCCCCAGCCTCTTCGCCAGCCCCGTCCGCACCGCGCCGCTGGCCGACTGCAAGCTCCAGCTGCTGGTCTTCCGCAACGGCAAGCTCTTCTGCAGCACAGGCAACTCCTCCCGCCTGGCCGACGATGGGAAACGCCGCAGCGTGGCCACACCGGTCATCTACGCCGGGACCTGTAAGGGTTGCCTACTGGGGGGGCTTGGGGTGACCTATGTAGGGCTTTTCTTGGGGGATGGAGCCCCATGGGGCTCCTGGGGTGTCGCCCTGGTGCTTCTGCAGAGCCAAGGCATCCCTGGGGGTCCTCACGGGGAGGTGGCAACGTGCCCATAGGATGCAGTGGGGGGGTTGCCCCGTGTCCAGCCCCCTTTGGGGGTGCAGGTGGAGAGGTGGCTCTTGTCCTGCTGACCAGGTTTCTCCGTTGCTGCAGACGGCTGCGGAGTGGGGAACCTGTCGGAGCCGGTGGCCGTGTC